GAGCTGCCACCTGGCACGGGCTCCCTGGTGCCCTGCTCTTGCATGCAGGGATGGGGAACACTGGTAATTCGGGGGTGTGTGGGAGAGGTGGGTGGTATATGATGTCCAGACGTGTTTTTAATCTAGTCTTGCTGCCTGTAGCCTCTTCATTCAGTTCTGAACAGCTCCTGCTCACCCAACAAGTCTTCAGGGATATCTTCGTGTTGTTTTCTTCTCCAGTCCACCCTGAGCTCCCTTTCCTGGGCAAACACCCAGGCAACCCTGGATGCACGGAACTGATGGGGCTGGAGGCATCACTGGCTGGGACAAATTTGTTTTTGGGAGAGAAGTGAGAAGAGAGCAAGAGCAGCAAAATGGGCTCATAACACAGACTTGCAGGCAGCAGGTTGGGGAGAAACCAGCCAGCAACTCATATGGGACCCCCAGCCAAAGCAAGTCAAATGGGTACTAAAGCAATAAATTTGCTCTCATGAGCTGGAAGGGGGCTGGTGGAGGGTCTGTGGCAGCATCAAGCCAAAGAGACCCACAGGGGAGACCACGCACTTGAGGCATAGATCTCATCAATGTGAGCAGAAAGTGACTGGTACCCAGAGGTCAGTCCATTAAACTCTGCTAGAATGAGCATGTCTGAGCTGAAAGGGGAAGGAGAGACACTCAGATCTCCATTAAACTTTAACACTCAGCCCTGACTTGCATTCTGCGAGACAGTAAAAGCCTTAGGATTTCTGGGGATTGATCCCAGTCGTGATGCAAAATACCAATGCTGAGCCTTGGAGATGGAGCAAGGAGTGAGCCAGAGCCCCTGACAGCCTTGGCAGAAAGCAGAGAAATAAATAAAAGAAATTAAGTCCCAGATTTAAAAAAAAAAAAAAAAAAAAAAAAAAAAAAAAAAAAAAAAAAAAAAAAAAAAAAAAAAAAAAAAAAAAAAAAAAAGACAACATGCCTGCCCTGGGTGGGAGAGGCCACTGCTGCCAGACACAACCCATCAGGGCAGGAGCCCAGTGCCATCCTTTTCCCACGCCTTCCTCACCCTCTCTGAGTGCTTTCAGCTCAGAGCAGGGACATCTACTTATCCACAAATATTCCCTTCCCTGGTTCCATGCCTGGGCTAAACCTCTAGCATAGGGGCATTAATGCAGTGCATGAATAAGCTTTTAAACTCTCGTGGATGTTTGCTCAGCACCCGTGAATCCAAGCCCCTGAAAGAGCCCTTTTTTCATGGAGGAGATGGAAGAGGAGCTCCAGGGAGGTGCTAAGGGTGACACAATAAATTGGCATAAAGTTAATAAAGTTACTGACTCCTCCAAAACAACTAATCCATGCACAAGACTTTTGCAAGGACATGCTCACCGCAGAGTCACTTGCTGGTTCACAAGAAATGAAATTACAGGCTGCTGTAGCTGTGCCTCTGTCATACTGGAAATGAGATAAGGAGGAGTTTTTGGCTGAAACATCAGCTCCAGAAAGGGTTAATGGCACATGAGATTTGTTTAGTGGGATTTGGTATTTTTTTTAACTTCAACAAACAAAGCATATGAGAAAATCCAGTTCACAGCTGAGTCCTGGCTGTCTGCCCACTAGGGCAGGGAAAATGCAGATGGTTTGAAATACCCACGCGCCTGCCTTTCTCATGCAGCCTGTGGCTCAGGGTCCCCAGAAGGTCTCCCCCCGTTGTATTTGAATAAATCAAGGTGGCAGCAGTAAAAACTGCAGTGTAAAAGCAGCACTGAGACAGGAGAAAATCTACTTTCCTTGAGCACTATCGGCTTCCTCAGACATACAAAGGAGCCAGGATCCTGTGAAGCTCCGCTCGTTCAAAAATAGTAATTAGCTCTCAAAGTAAATAGGTGTTAACAGCAACAAAGAGCTTTGCCACAGTCTGGGTAAACACTTCAGAATCAATTTAATTTCCCTTCTCCTGGCAGAGATAATCTGCAATTATTTTCAGGTTGGGGCAGGGAACAAAGCCACTGGGGCTGCTCCTTGGGACAGCCCGCAGGACCCACCACTGACTTCGCTGGCATTTAGGCCCCTGAGGCTGAAATGAGCTTCCTTCCGCCAAACCAGATGTGTAACCTAGCCGGTGATCAGCACACCCAGCAGTGAACCACAGCATGACATTAAACAGCCCTACAGTCCAGCCCTATTTCTTAATCCTGAGAGTCCCCCAGTCTAGACAGGACATGAAGGAAGGACTAATGCAAAAACCAAGCAACAGAATATTTACACCCTCCCATCAAGCTGCAAACAGAAAGAAGCATCAAAGGATGTTTAGCCTTTTAATCACTTAGCCTTTTGGGAGCATGGGCAGCACCCAAGCATGGTCCCACACTGGTGCAGAGGATTTGCAGCCAGTTTGTACCACTGCATGCAGCTGCATCTGGGTTGTCCATCTGCTTACTAAATTGTGCTAAAAAGCAACTGAAAACCTGCCTTTTCCCTACCATCATGGGGAGCTGGTGAAACAGGTTTTTACCCAAACTGTTCCAAAAGCTAATGAGTTTGTCCTCCATCACCACTGGGTTAAATTCAAACTAGTGATCAGTGGCTGGGGCTCAGCTGATGTGGAGTGTCCTTAGGAGGAGGAGCATGTGATGGCAGCTGTAGTTAATGTGTTTGCTGGTGATGGAGAATTTACCCAGCTGGGATGTGAATACAACCCAGCTGGGAACAGCCTGGCTGTGTGGCCAGACCCAGCAAGGCTTTTGGGCCAGTGTAAAGCAGTCACACACCCAGGAACAAGTACAACCAGAAAAATGTGCACAGTGACTTCCCCAGCAGTTTCTGATCTTGTTCTGCCACACTAACTGTCTGCTGGGAGAGGGATGTTTAGTTAATTAATTGCTACAATTAGCATGGAGCTATTCCTGTCCATGATGGTTACCCTTTCCTCCCCTTTTTGGTTCCTCCAATTACCAACTCATTCATTCTCCAAGGCAGAGGCCACAAGGCACAGAGAGGCTTGAGGATGAAGAGAAGAAGGTCCAAGAACAAAATGCCAAGTGTCCCAAGACCTATTTCTACCCAGAACTGTCTTAATCTTGTGCAAACTCCTGATCCTCTCCCACCCATAAACCCATGACTTCAAGGAGGTGAGATGAGAGAACACAGCAGTTACAAACATTGCTTCGGCTGTTTTATTTCTCTCTCCAGCTGACCCATCATGCAGGGCAGGTGATAGGCTTGTACATGCCAAGATGTACAAGACTCTCAACACCCATTCCACTCCAGTGATCCCTCAACTTCTCCACCCAGCCTTGGGCCATGGGTCCTTCAAATGAACATTACATACTTTGGGAAATTGATGATTTATTTGCCATTACTTAGCAGGGACGGTGAAGGAAAGGTGAGCATGGGGTCACCCATGCAATGGTCAAAGCAAAGGACAAGCTCTGAATAATTCATGATCCCTCTTTGCTGCAGCATCTGGACACATCTGCTGCATTCGCCCCTGTAGGCTTTTTCTTGGCTTACTCAGAAAATCACGCTTTGGCAGCTGGGTACTGTTTCAAGTGGGTACTTTCCCTGAAGCATTAACGAGCTGTGATTTTGTTACAAATAGGGATTTTTGTTCCTCTTTTGCTGATGTCACTCGATGATCCTGCAGGGAATAGTGCTCAGATCTCTGCAGCCTGACGATCCCTGTGTGCCCTTTGGGACAGATGTACTTGCAAGCAGGAGATTGTTTTTCCTTTTGCTGCCCAGATTTATATTTCACTGAAGTCCTGTATCGATCCTGTTGCCGCTGGGCTGAGAGCTCGTTTTACTAAATGAGAAGAAAAACAGTTCCCCCAGCTGAACTCACGCAAAATGGAAAATCCTGCAACAAAACAGCTCTTAAAAAGGGGGCCTGAACAATTTTGCTGAACCTTGAGGGCTGCGCTGCTGATATTGGAACGGTATGTAATTTATTTAGCCTGACCTTTCCCTAAAAGACCGGGCTGGCGACGTTATCAAGGATCCTTTCTACCACTTGTACACCCATTGCCAAGGTGACATCCTGTTTCATGCGTCAGCCAGCGAAGATCGCATCCGCGCTGCTGTGATGCTTTGTTTGCTGTCCTGCCTGACAAGCTCTTGGCAGGGTTTCAGCTCCCGCGGATGGCAGCTGCTCTACGAGGGACCAAAACAGATTCAAGCTGGACATTATTATAGGGAGTTTCACGCAGACAGAGCATGGGACTGGAGTCCCTTTCCATGAGACTGGATCATGGATGAGATGAAGTAAAGATGCCCAGAGGTGCTACCAGGTATAATGGGACTGGCAGAGGACTGCAGTGCTGCACATCAGGCTCAACCCCTCATCCCATCTCCCTCAGGATTTATATGTGCCCTCATGGTACTGGAAAAGCAGAGGAAGCTCACCTTTGCTTAATGCAGAGGCTTGCCAAAGCACAGTCGAGTTTGGATGCTGAAGAATAACCAGCAGAACAGGTCCCACCACTGCACAAAACTACCTGTCCCCCTCCCAGAGGGTGCTTTCCCAGAGGGTCCCAGGAAGAGACAGGGACGTAGGTGTGGGGTATGTGTCTGTCCCTCACATGAGAGCCTGTCAGCAGTGGAGAAAACTGCAGTGGGGAGGAAAATGGTTCCCATAAAGCTTCTCCCCCCACTTTACCAAGGGATTGAAACCTCTGAATGAGGAGTATTTTTCACTGGTGGTTCCCACTACTCTCAACAGCATTTCAGTGACACATGGGGACAAAGGCTGCAGCTAAAAAAGTCTCCAATCCCTATCAACTTCTTGTAAGAGACTACATGGTCTACAGTTATGGGGGGTAAAAACTACTTAGGTGGCTCACAGGAACAAAGCCAGCTCTGCTTCAGATGTCAAAGGCAGGCAAGTTTCCCACATGCCCATCCATTTCCCACTCCCACACTGCCAGCCTTGGGGCAGGCTGAACTTCCCTCCCACAGGTCTGATCTGAAAGAGGAGCCAGGCACCATTAGGAGGACAGGCCAGAAGATGCTCTTGGCCAAGGACATGGCTCTCATGGTACCTGTGTTCTCCTCGGACTGGTTGAAGCCACAGATCTGACAGATGCTGCGAACCCATTTGTTCATGTCGTCCTCAGTCTCAGCCACCAGGTAGAAGGTCCTGTCACTTGTCTTGATGTCAAAGATGTAGCTGTCCTGCAGTTCCTTCTTGTTGAAGGTCAGGCCCGCGTCCACTTGCTCACAGAAATTGAGGTTGATCACACGCAAAGGTTTCTTGGAGTGGTCATTTTTGTAGTACTCCAGAACGTCGGGGTCGCCACTCATCCGACCACTGCGCAGGACGAACCAGCGTTTCTTCCATGCCTGAAACCAAGAAAAGAAGAAGCATGAACCCTATCACTGAATCTGCGAGAGCGAGAAACCACTGCTAGGCACAGCGTGACACAGAGGGACACGACACTTCTCCACCATGGGATACTCTGGGATGCTGCTCAGCACATCCCTGAAAGAGGTGCATAGACTCAGCTCAGTTCTTCAGTTCAACACTAAAATTCTACTGGTTATCCAGGAGAATTAAATACTGGAATAGTATTGTAGCATAAGATGACCCCAAGAAGGTTCAGAGTCTTGAGACTCAGATCAACCTTGCTCCTACCCTACAGCCCTGCCACACTCCCAGGACCCAAATACCCTTCTCTCCTTGATGTGAGATAATCTGTGCAGTGGCATTACCAGTCACAGCAGTGCCAAAATGCCTTTCAGAAGCTTGGAGTTGTTCAGGCACTTTGGACACAGCATCCTGGGTGTTCTGACCTTCAGAGAAACTCCAGTGAGCATCATAGCATGTGTCTGCAGATACCAACCACGCCAATCCCATCTCTGTTTAAATGCCAGGATAGAAAGAGTAATAAAACCAATAGGGAACTGGTTTGTTTTTTTAAATATCAGGAATAATGCCAGAGAGGCCCATGGAGAATCCAAGCTTCATTTGTTTTTTAGCATCCTCGGCTCCCTGGCATGTAGACAACTCCTTGCAAAGGAAAAGGTTATCATTGATTCTTCCAAGCTCTGCTGACGGCAGCCCCTGGCCAAACCACCCATGAAATGGACTCAGGGGGTTACGGAGTTTAAAGCAAATCAGCAAAATAAATGTCAGCCACCAGTCCTGGCCCTGAAAGCTACGGCCCTACTGCTCTCCCCAAGCCAAACGCAGCTGGGAGCCCAAAGGAGGGGGAATAGCCACAGTGATAATGTGTTAAATGCTAAACCCTAAATTACACGGAAAACTGTGCAGTGTTAGTCCCCACCCTATGGGATGGACGGTGGGTTTTTCTGGGATGTTCTCCGCAGGAAGATCATGGCACCTATGTGAGGGATGCATGGGTTGAGGGACCACCTCGAGCTGATGTCCATTGCAAGAGGTCTGCTGCCTTGCAGAGGCCTCGGCTCCCAGGGCCTGTGGAAGGGAAGGGCTACATCTAAGCGTGGTCCTCAAAACAGTTTGTTCAGGATGTCTTTGAAGGCAGCAAAGGTTTGAAAGGTGCATGCAGATGAGTGGGGCGATGTGGATTATTACCAGTGCTCCTGCATTACCTGACACGCACCTCGGTTTGTACCAAAGGACGCCAAGGGAGGGGAATGTGATCCCCACCATCCTGCCCTGGCTGTGGACCTTTTTTTTTCTTTTAATGAGATTTACCTCATTTATATTTTTATATACATAGCCAGTTTTGGAATTCATACGATTATAAGAGGTTGGGTCTTGAGGAAGCACATGATGTCCCTAAGAAAGAGAACTAAAAGCCACAAACATCTTTAATATCCAGGAGAGGCAGCAGGGCAATTGGTGTGCTAGGTCCTCCATGATGCTCCCCAGGTGCTGACCACTGCCCTGGGAGGCTTTGCATATTGGTGATGGGTATGTGCTAGATCTCAGCCAGCCAACTGCACGAGGATCCCACGATTTTGGAGAATTTTGTGGCTGTAATAAGGGTAAGAAATGTCTGCGATGTTTTCCCCGAACAGAATGATTCACACCATCCTTCTCAAAGGCTTAAAAATAGCTTTTGGTGGTGTCTTTTAGATTTGTAACCAAATTAGTTTTGCACTAATTCTCAAACCCAGTCCTGGCGCCAGGAAAGCAACTTCAGTGCAATCTTCTAGAGGCAGCGAAGCAGCAAATTGCTTAGCAGGAGGACGTGCAAGGCTGGCAGATTTTGGTTTAATCTAGGAGACAGTCACCCACTTCTCATCAAAATGGCTGCTTTCAGATGAAAAAATAGACACACAGCAGAGCTATGTCCATGAGGGAGGGGAAAAAAACAATTTCACCAGGCAGCAGCAATAATTTGCTAGTCTATCTATCTCCTCAAAACGGATCACCCAAATCCTTGGAAAACAAACTCATGAACATTTTTTTCTAGTTCTAGGTGGAAAATGTCCCATTAGCTTCTTCCTGTTAGCACTGAGTCATTTCTTTGCACTCACTTGGTAGGGCGAATATATGGGCATACATCAGTGAAAGAAGATGGAGTTGTGCAACCACATGAACCATCACCTGAATGAAGACACATTCAACACCAGTTCTGGCTGCTTAGCTTGTTGTTTTCCAAAGATTGCTTTTGGAATGCAATCTTGCAGCATCCCTTCATGGCTGAGACACTGCATTAAAAAACCCACTAAGTACAGAAACTAGACTCTAGAATTTAGAGTTTTCATGGAAAAATAGGAGGAAATGCTGCAAGCAAGGCAAATGATGCTACCACAGCTTCTCTTTTAATCACTAATGTGAGAGCCACAAGTTCTCCAATTCTCTTTGGTCTGTCTGGTAGCAATGAAAAGCCCCACATAGTCAGCATTTGGCATAGAAAACAATATAACACACATGGTCTACTGGTATTGAATAAGTTCTAGCATAGGCTGGTTGCAAAAGAATGGGTCTTGCCAGCACAAAATTTTTTGGGAAGCTGCAGGACCTGGAGTATCATTGGAGGATGGGGCCACTGGACAGGGCAGCAGCCCCATCAGCCTGGGATGACCACCCAGTCCACCTCTGCATGGTGCTCTCCTGATGATAAAGAGTCACTGGCGTTCTAAAACAGCTTCTGACCCAGAAAAACAACTCATGGCAGCAGCCTCTGTAGTGCCTGTCCTGGACAGGTGGCTGTAGGCAGCACAGCTGGAGGCATCTCCCACCACACCTCCCTGCACTTCCTGCCTCCTAAGATCAGTTTCTGAGCCAGAGAGATAAGCACTGATCACTGGAAGAGAAAGAAGTAAACAATAATGAAATAGCCAGGAACCTCCTCATCTTTATAGAGATTTTCCCCATTTCTTTGAATTTTTGAACATTGAGCTCAGCAAGCGTATTTTATTTCTTCCTCGTGGATTTGCTATGTCTTCATTAGGAACAGGGCTCAGCTTGCATTTGCCAGGCTGTGGCTGCTCCTGAGGCATCTCTTGGCACTAATGGAGCTTGCTTCAACATACCACTACACATGGCAAAGGATACGGACTCTGCATCCTCCTGGGACACTCATTCAAAGCTATCAGTACCACCCAAATCTTCCACACTTAGGATTCCCTAGGATATCACCTTCCTGAAAGAGGGTGATTTAAGGGTCTACTGATCACCACTTATCACAGCAGTAAGCTGTATGTGATCCATATGTGCACAGCAACCTCAGCCAATGCCAAACCAAAGGAGGATGCAACTCCATATGAACGTACACGCTCTTTCCAAGACCATATTCTCCTGGCATGGGGCTGTCATGACCAACATACATTTCCTCCTCCACTTGAATTTTCCTTCTCTCCCTACTTCTATTTGTTCGTAGCTCTTCTGCAGCCTCTGTCGCCATCAGTCCACTCCTGCCAAAACATTGTGCCTCACTGAGTGGTGTGAGCCAAGGGCTGTGTATGTTTAACAACTTTGCAGTGCAGAGAGGCCAGCAGCTTAACAGCCATAAAGTGGTGCCTTTGCAGCACAAACTTCCAGCTGTGCAGTCCTTTGCCTGCATCAGGTTCCTTCACAGTTAAATTACAGCTGCCAAAGGTCCTCAGTATCACTGAGAAATATTTTGACACTTGGCAAGTATATCTTTTAAAGACTTGTTTGTTAAAAAAAATACCCATGCCCATCCATCATGCTCCCATCGCAACGTGAATCCTCCCTGGTTACGGAGAACTGTAACTGCTGCTTGATTGCCTTCCACCTCAACAGTGCCGTGGTAAGTTAAAGTTTACAAAACCGACCCCTTTCCAGTTGGATGCTACTCGGAGCTCGTTGTTTTACGGAAAGTTGGGTTGGCAGAGATGAAGTTGGTGCTGCTGGGTTCACTGGCTGAGTGTACTTAGCAGGGATGCTCTGCAGGGCTCAGGCAGTGCTTGGGATTCTTCCTGTCCTTTCTGCTGGGTGAGGAGGTGGCTGCTTTTGAGCGACTGAGATGCCACCACAGCCGTACCATACCATACCATACCATACCATACCATACCATACCATACCATACCATGCCATGCCATGCCATGCCATGCCATGCCATGCCATACCATGCCATACCAATCTTCCTACTGCCACCATACTATCTTCCTACCACTCCATGAATGAGGTCCCTCATGTCCCCTGTGGATGTCCTGATGACACACTGCTGTAACAGAGCTGGTGGCATCACGGCAAGGGGCTCAAACCGTCCCTTGTCAGAGAATCTGGGGCCTCCAAGTACCCAAATGCAATTAAGGAACAGGCCAGACAGAGGCTTTATTAACTATGATTATAGTGAGAGGACATTTGGACAGCATCTTCCCTTCTGGTCCCCTGTTCTCTGCAAAGTGATTGCAGATATCCAGCCTACATGTTGTTTCCGAAAAAAAGAAAAGAGGTGAGGAAAATTGTAATTTCAATGTTAGTAAAGCCAAGTATCCATCCCTGAGGAGCCTGCCAAGTGCCACAATCTTAAGAAGGAATCAAATAGTGACAATATGGAGAGAGGGCTCTTGGTGGGGCCTATAGGAGAGGTCCACCCAGTATTATTTTAGCTCTGAAATGAGAAGTTGGAAACAGTTAGAAACTGTTAGCTTTGAGTTGAAAGGGATGTTCTTTCAATTAGGATAAACTCCTATATAACAGATTTCTCAAATCTGAAATATAAATAATTTTACCAACACACTCTTATAGCATATGTAAGGAGAAAGAAGAGAAGAGAAAAGAGAAGAGAAAAGAAGAGAAGAGAAGAGAAGAGAAGAGAAGAGAAGAGAAGAGAAGAGAAGAGAAGAGAAGAGAAGAGAAGAGAAGAGAAATGAGAAATATGTATTTCTCAGGAAATCTCTCTGCCCTGTTCCTTCTCCCCCTGACATCAACTTCATGC